GTAAAAAATCAAATAATATGCAGCGATTGACTATCATATCACCTAGTAGTCACCCGGTGCCTTGGTGTCTATACTCAGGCCACCCAACTTCTGGTTGCCCCAATTTTGTGGAACAATCTTGAAATGGTAGTGTGGTGCTTACTTAATGCCTTGGCTATCTAGGGTGAAAGTTTTACATATGAATATATAGGTAAAATCTTTAAAAATCTTCATATTTTCATGGTAGCATCCTCAGATAGTGTAGATTCAAGTTTGTTAAAATCATGACCCCCGGGGGTCGGGTGGGGCCACAATGGGTGATCAAAGTTTTACATAGGAATATATAGGAAAAATGTTTTAAAATCTTCTTCTCAAAAATAGCAAAGCCATAATTGGTCAGATTTATTTGGTAGCATTCTCAGGTAGAGTAGATTCAAATTTGTTCAAATCATGACCCCCGGGGGTCGGGTGGGGCCACAATGGGTGATCAAAGTTTTACATAGGAATATATAGGAAAAATGTTTTAAAATCTTCTTCTCAAGAACAGCAAAGCCATAATTGGTCAGATTTATTTGGTAGCATTCTCAGGTAGAGTAGATTCAAGTTTGTTAAAATCATGAACCCTGGGGGTCGGGTGGGGCCATAATTGGTGATCAAAGTTTTACATTGGAATATATAGGAAAAATCTTTTAAAAAAAACAATTTCTTAAGAACAGCAAAGCCATGATTGGTCATATTTATATGGAAGCATTCTTAGATAGTTTAGATTCAAGTTTGTTCAAACATGACCCCTGGGGGTAGGGTGGGGCCACAATGGGTGATCAAAGTTTTACATAGGAATATATAGGAAAATGTTTAAAAATCTTCTTCTCAAGAACAGCAAAGCCATGATTGGCCATATTTACATGGTAGCATCCTCAGGTAGTGTAGATTCAAGTTTGTTCAAATCATGAACCCTGGGGGTCAGGTGGGGCCATAATTGGCGATCAAAGTTTTACATTGGAATATATATGAAAAATCTTTTTAAAGAAACAATTTCTTAAGAACAGCAAAGCCACGATTGGTCATATTTATATGGAAGCATTCTTAGATAGTTTAGATTCAAGTTTGTTCAAACATGACCCCTGGGGGTAGGGTGAGGCCACAATGGGTGATCAAAGTTTTACATAGGAATATATAAGAAAAATGTTTAAAAATCTTCTTCTCAAGAACAGCAAAGCCATGCTTGGTCAATGGTCATATTTAAATGGAAGCATCCTCAGTTAATGTAGATTCACAACATTTGTTCAATTCATACCCCCCCCCCCCACCCCCACCCCCCCCCCACCCCCCCCCCCACCCCCCCGTGAAGCACTTTTTTATTTAAACTTTTGAACCTTTCAAGACTGAATGATTTCTGCTTTTTCCTAGCCATAGTGCTCAGGTGAGCGATGTGGCCCCTGGGCCTCTGGTTATGTTTGTTAATCTATTTGCAACAATTTTTCACTAGAGGAATGAATAATCTTAATTTTAATTTTTTACAAATTTCTCCAGAGGAACCCCCTGCAGACACCATACTGACTGCATAAGCACGCTGTCCTGGGGTAAAACGCCGCATACGGTGTAATTTTTTTCTGAGTTTTTAATTAGTACAAACATAAAGAACACAAACACAAAGAAAAAAATAGAAATTTATTCTTCCAAAATGTAGGGACACAATTTTTAATTTTTTCTATGAAATGGTTGCGCTTCACTTAACATTGTAGTTATTTATCAGTTAAGACATTTAAATGCCTCATCTTTTACTTAAGTAACGTCATTATATATAAAATACATCATAAACAAGTTTTGAAAAGTAAAATGTTAATTTTCTTTGGTGGTGCATTAGCAATTTTGTCTAGTGTATTATTTAGACCCTTGATGACTGTGTATCTATCAAAATTAAGGCAATTTTCTGCTAGTCAAGTCATTATATATCAAATACATCATAAACAAGTTTTGAAAAGTAAAATGTTAAATTTCTTTGGTGGTGCGTTAGCAATTTTGTCTAGTGTATTATTTAGACCCTTGATGACTGTGTATCTATCAAAATTAAGGCAATTTTCTGCTAGTCAAGTCATGAATTGCGTCATTTTTCCATATCATTAAAATTTCTACAAAAACAGCCAAACTTTTAAGCTATATTTCAATATTTCGTATAGAGCACAACCTCTGATCTAAAATGTGCAATTATAAGATAGAATTGTTTCTCAAGATTACAAAATATGTTTTATTTTTTGGATCAAGGGATGCACTCATATTTTGCTTCTTTGCTGAAAGTACTCAAATAACCTGTTTTCTTTTAAATCCAAGAATATTGCAATTTCACAAATCCTGTTTTCAAAAAAACTGGAACTCCCAGAGAAAACTTTTATGTGGGAATGAAAGCACTAAATCTCTACTTTATAATGATGTTTGGAATGGGACATAGTGTTTTTGTCAGTAATTTGGTATATCTACAGGTCATATTATGCATAAAGTGAATCTAGATCTTTTCTTCTCAAGAACAGCAAAACCATACAAGACCTATATATATATATATATATATATATATATATATATATATATATATATATATATATACACTGTATATATAAACATCTTTGGGTAATATAATTCTAATTTGTTCAATTCATGACTAAGGGGGGTAGGGATGGGCCACAACAGAGGGTAAAAGTTATATATTTATATGAACAAAAAGTCTTCTCAAAAACAGGAAAACCATGATTAGTCATATCAATACAGAAGCATCCTCAGATAGTTTTGATTTAAGTTTGTTTAAATCATGAACCCAGAGGATAGGGTGGCCATGATTAGTCAAAGAAATATTGAAGCAACTTCAGTTAGTCTAGATTCAAGTTCAAATAATGCCTCCTCCCCCCCCCCCCCCTTTAGAGTTAGGTTGGAACCACATATATTTCAACTTTTCAATACTGAACTGATTTCTGCTTTTTCCTAGCCATTGTGCTCAGGTGAGCAAACAAATTAAGTGTATAGTTATGATGAGCAAATATGGGCCTCTTTCAAATTGTGAATTTCACAGCCCCTGGGTAAGGGGTTCTGGTGTTAGCTTGGGCAGAGCTGTGTTGATTCTATAGTGAAAATGCATGATTGAAAATCTTCTCCTCTGATCCTGGGCATCTAGGAGGCAAACAGAGTACAAAATGGGTATACTATTTATACCAGATATTTGAAATTCTGAACCACTAGGTCAAGTGTTCTGGTGCTGGGCAGACCTGTATTAATTTGAAGTACTGAGAGAAGTTATTCCCCTTTGCTATTCCCTATGATAATTAATCAATGTTGATAATGTGATTGAAAGGTTAGTAAGAGAATTATACAAGCATTGGTTTGATTGAGCTATTGTACTGTGTCACTGTTGGATATATAAATGGGCCAGATCCTATTGTATTACAGCAAAGTTGGATATATGAATATATGATATATTTCTTTGCCAAATTAGGAAATTTTTTAAAGTAAGATAAATAAATGGATAGTGTTGAATAGAATATAGAAACATCCCCTCCTTGGGCCTTTGACCCTCGGAGAGAATGTTTTCTCTAAACTATTCAACACCATCTCATTATTTATCCATTACGTACATGTATATATAAAAAAGAATCTGCTGATGAAAAACAGGAATGGTCATAGTTACTGATTACTCAGGTGAGCTTTGTGGCCCATGGGCCTCTTGTTTACAATAGTAAACAACCTGGCTGTGTAGCTATAGAAGCAGATGATCTATATTTGTTTCTACTCTGAAGGAATTATTAGCACTAGACTGAAACATGATTTGGAGTAAAAAAAAATCAACTTGGAAATGTTGAAAGATTATGCAAATACTATCAGGGGCAGACAAATCCCATTGCCCAGCGCCCGGGACTAGTGAATTTTGGGGATGGGAAAGTGAATTTTTATTAACCACTTGCCCGAGGGCAACTGACTTTTTCATGAAAAAAAATAACAAGTTTTAGTTTTAAGTGGAAATGAGTACTTGTAATAATCATTTTTTGTCTTCCTATTTTCATAGTTTATGGTGGGGCAAGTAAAAATTCAGGTAGGGCAAGTGAATTTTGACCATGTACTCGCCCATGGGCAAGTACTTAAAAAATCTATTTGTCAGCCCCTGTACTATGCAACTATTTGCTGCAGATCTAACACCATCTGTGTACCTATGAATGAACAGGGGCCCAAGCTAATTTCAAGTAAAGAAAAGAAATAGGTCAATTTTGAAATTGGTTTCAAATTCACATTTCTTGGGAAGTATACATGCAGTGTATACTGAATTTCAACATGAACTTTGGAAGTAATGTAGATAATGTTTATTCATTGTATGTGAATAGATAGAAATAGAAAGTATAATTTTAAATCATATGATTTACAAGTAGTTCATTTGCAAAAGTGGATACCATATCTGACAAGTTCCACACCTTTATTTTTTTATACTCCCCCTTTTTCATTCTAGTTAAAGCCGGGAATCCAAAGGCCTGTGGTTTTAAGTTCTTCTCAAAGCTTAAGGGATAATTCATGTACACGATATAAATAATGATAGTTATATATGCTGTATATGTGGCTGACAGGCAGGTTAGATCACCAGGGGCCAGTTGGCCTTTTTGGTGGAGTGCCTGACTAGTGATTCAGGGGGCCTGGGTTTGAATCCTGGCCTATAGCTGGTCTGCATTTTCTTCCTTGTCAATTACATTAAGTGCTGTGCAATGCCCTGAACATACCAGGAAAGAGCCTGGGTTGGTGGCTTTTGGGCGACTTTTAAGGGAGGGAGGGGGAGGATCAGAATGAAGTGCTCAGGTAGGTTTTATGGCCTGTGGCCAGATGGCTCAATGGAGACCCTACTAGTGATTCAGGGAACCTGGGTTCAAATCCTAGTCTGGTCCTTACATTTTCTCCCTCACCAGTTACATATGTGATGAAAACAATAAACCATTTATTTGTACAGTATTCAATTGTTTTCATGATGAAAATAAAAATTGTTTCTTCCATTTCAGATTTTCAAAAACAAAACTTAAGGAATCTGCGATCGAGTTGGATGCCATATATATACCCTGACAGCTGCACTAATAATCCTAAAAAGTTTTGATTATGAACTTTATTCTGGAGAAAATGTGCCTCAAAGAGACCTTTGTGATGAATTAAGACACTGTGTTAGGATTTAAAAGAATCTGATCTTCTGGACACCTTGTGAGCATAAGGAAGTGTACTCTTGAGAACCTTATTTTTTATTGGAGAACTGTACTTGAAAATAAGCATAGAGTAAATTTGTATTTACTATCTAATAAAGTTTTTATTTGAATCAATGTTTTTGAGTACTAGTGTCACTATATATAACAGAAAAAACAGACAAATTCTGGTGTACCGATTTTTATCACTTTACTTTACTGCTTTATACATTGAAAATAGCCCAAAGGGATATAATTTTCATATCCAAGATTGTGAGTCACACTATATATACAGGGTTCAAAACTGAGTGGAAATACTCTCTAAATGCGACCATAGAATATATTTTAGCGATTATGTTACATTATATGCTAGCAAAGTTTATTGATAAGTTCCAGTTTTGTTTTTTTACCTTTCAAAATAAAAGATGTTTTAATGTCTGCATGTCACTGAATAGTAGCACTGATCTGATGCCAAAATTCGTCAGGAGTCCAAATTAGGGGACGGCTATTTGATTCTTGGGGGGGGGGGGCAATTTTTCCGAGTCGGATTATTTATTTTCATGTCGGTGAAGGACAGATTATTTATTTACAATATGATTGAGGACAGATTATTTTTTTTTTTCTGAAAAAAGTCAGCCCCCCCCCCCCCAAGGAAAATGTCCAAACTCCAAAAATGGGGGGAGGGGGGTTAGTCTTTATTTTCGTCCCCTTAAATAAACCTGTATCTTCCCAAAATGTTTTGGAAGCCCCCCCCCCCCCCCAAAAAAAACCTTTAAGTTTGTGATCAAAATCAGTTTCTTCATTCCATGTTTCTCAATTTTGGATTCCTTAATAATTAGATAATTCCTACCACTATTCTTGATACAAGTTATAAAAAAAAATCATACCTTAATTAAATAATCTTGAATTGTTATTTACTATTTGTCTATTTGAAATTGCTTCTCATTTCACAGGGGTTTTCTTGAAATCCCAATCTGGCCTAATTGACCTTGAAATGCTCAATTCTATGGGCCCCAGCTCCCTTATTCAAAGTACCATCCGACGAAAAAAAACACACCTCAACTTCAGTAATTTTTACACTGGACTAGAGCTTGAATGTACATGTACCATTTTTGAATATTTTTTTTTAGAAGAATCGCTAGTGAATTTTCAATTTTGCGAGTAAATGTTTTTGCCACTAGGTAAAGTTTGCTTATGGTCATAAGAGTCAATTTTGAACCCTGATATATATATATATATATATATATATATATATATATATATATATATATACTGAAAGAAGAAAGGGTAACCTTTTGAAGTGACTTAGTGACTTAATGTTATATTTTCGAACGCATTTTCTAGTATTGTTATCAAACATTTAACTCTTCTTTCATCAACAAATAAGCAAAATCTCATTCATTTACATCCACTGAATATTATCTCCTTTATATTTTTTAAGAAAACCATTGCCGTTTATCAGCCAGTAAACACCGCTAAGCATACATGTACCACGTCTATACAGATTTCTTAGGCAGTGGCTGTTCCATCAATGAAACGTACAATGACGTACACATCAATAATGCACTATTTCATCTACTAAATCCTTTTTTAATTGATTATTTTTACAGATATAACTTTAAACAATAAAATATCTTTCTTTGTTAGTACAGGAATTAACGTTGCAGCTATTGCAGAAAAATAATAATTACATAACCCGCTTACCGAGTTATGCGCGGGTTATGCATTTTTTCTGCAACAGCTGCAACATTAATTCCCAAACTAACAACCAAAGAAAGCATTTTATTGTTGAAGTCAATCTTATTTGATTTATCACACAGATCTAGTATACTCTAATGTATAGTATCCAAACCAAGCTTTTCTGGCACAGCCATCGTGCCTTAACCTAAATTTTACTCAAACAACTGTTCAGTGTGACTGGTTGAAGACATCCATATCATAATCATACTAGTATCATAAGAGGTCTGTGTGTACAGATCAAATATATAATAATTGTAACAGTCATATTCATTCGAGATTATATTAAAAATTTTCATATGAAAAATACATGTATGATTGGTTTCTGCTACCTGTCTGAGAATTTTAATGCTAGAAAATCGTCTTGGTTAGGAAGATTGAAGAAAAAACAATATGTGTTTGCTAAACACATGGTCAATATTACATGTAATAGTGCCCTAGGGAAGAACTTGTCACAAAGAATGCACATGTGCAATATGAAAGCCCATAGCACCATCCGTTGAAAAGTTATTGCGAAGGTTAAAGTTTTTGAAAAGTCAAAATAATGTCAAGGTCAAATGTCAACATTAATTGTGCCATAGGGAAGAGCTTGCCACAAGAAATACACATATGAAATATGAAAGCCTTAGCGCCAACTGTTCAAAAGTTGTTTTATTATAAGATTCAATAATTAAATGATACGAACTCATTAAGCAGTTAATGCCATCTTGTTTACTTGCTGAAGTCCTAGCTAAATGGAATGAGAGAAGCGGTGTTAAATAAACATTACCAATCGTATTAATTTGGAATTTTTTTTAGAAAATCTTCTTTAGTTGCTATGAAAAAAAATATAATGTCAGGCTCTTTTATAGAATAAATTTTGAAAGGGGGGGGGGCATAAACAGGGAAAATGACAGCTGAAAAAAATCTTTAATTAGCCCCACGAAAAGAGAATTCTTTTAACTTCAAATTTTGTTTTAGGAGGGGCGGGGTAAAGGGTTAGGGATTAAGGTCCATTAGTGGGGCCACTCTTTCAATGAATATTTTCAGTCTAAATTAAAAGAAAAAAAATGTTTGGGGGAGGGGGAGCTGCACCCAAATCCCATCCCCACAACCACCCCCACGCCAAATTATATATTCTTAAATGTTATGTTCACCTGCGTGGAAGTCGGTAGCAAGTGAAATAGCTTTCCAAAACTATTTGTATCAGTTTGGAATTTCCCGATCTATTTTTTAGACCAATGTAGAGAAAATAATTCTTTTTGTTATACCTTTAAAAATTAGTTCCTATATAAATATACACTAAAAAAAGTCTAACATTCCTAATGTTTTACTGAGCGGTCATAAAAAAATCGATGTTTGACCGCAGAGTGAGATATTGGACCTGTGGACGAGATATTTGACCGCTTACGTCACACTGTGGGCGGGATTATCTAAATCTTATTTGCATTCGTTAGTATGGACGTTAGCGGCAAAAGAAAATGTATAATTACAAAAATAAATAAAAGGTATAACAAAATATTTATTGACTGCGTTCTCGGGCAAATGCGTTTTGTCGACCCCTCGAACCAAACTGTTTGCCTTCGGCCTAACGGCCTCAGGCAAACAGTTTGGTTCTTGGGTCCGACAAAACGCATGTTGCCCTCGAACCCAGTCAATAAATGTATGATATTATTCTTTCATGTAAGTTACTTAAATTTGATTTGTGGAGAAACATTTATCCAAAAAACTGTTACCATCTGAATGATGATACCACGCCCTTCAGCGCGATAGAACTTAGCACCAGTCAACATTGCTTGACAACGGGTCTTATCCCCCCTCCCCAAATTAACTGCGCGGAATCTGTGAGCGCTAGCTCTACCTTTCTTTGTATTTATATAAAACATTCAGTAAAATATGATAAATACTGCATGTAGATAAGGGTAACATTGAACATTTGCAGTATTTATGTAATATTCACCTGGAAGGTCACGTGCAGGTGAATATAACGTAGTACTTTTTCTACATTGTTGGATCTCAGCCAATCAGAGAGAAAGGAATTATTCAATCAATAATAAATGTATTTATATCATAATCCTCTTTTGATATTTACATTAATTTCTACTAAATTTGCAACAATCATCACAAATATTGAAATAAGTCGTCTATGAAATAGCATGCACAAGCTAGAAGAGAGAAAAATATTTTTTATGTCCTTGTATTTGAAGATACGAGACATATAGTTTTTGCCCTGTCCGTCCGTCCATCTGTCTCTTGAATTGGTGCTTTCATAAGTTTTGCTTAATATACGATTACATAATGGACATTAAAACAAAGCCAGGTGTAGGAACACAGAAAATCATAATAATTTTAAATATTTTTGATATATTATGAAGAGATACAAAAACAGATATTCAAGGAACTTGTCGCCAGACCTTAAAAGCCTCTTCATGTTATGGTCGAGTTGTATGGTCTAGTGGCTAACGTGTCCAGTCGCTGAGAAGAAGCTGTTATTCGGAATTTTTTATTGTTTGGGTTCAAACCTCAAGAAAATTGCAATTTTTTCAATATTTTTGCAAAGAGAATTTTTCGCACAAAAATTTTGCTTGCCAAAATTTCATACCTTTCAACAATAAGAACTTTGCTCTAAATACTAAGTTCACAAACAAACACTTGAGATAATAGACATTTCCTAATCTAATTCACTCGCGTTATTTTTTCATTAAAATACCTCACATTTAGCCGTGGCTGTAGAACAGTTAACGCAACTCCTTCTAAACCAGGTTTAAATATTAGACTTGTCTTGCGTCTTTTGGACCCTCAGAAAAGACTCATTTCAATTTAAGCGAAAACAAGTCAATTTTAAGTCATTCAAATATTTAATATAAATACTGAAAAGGGGCAGGGTAAAATGTTCCTTTGTTTGTCAATGCAGAAATTAATTTTTTAGCTATTTCAGAAAAAAATCTTAACTCGCATAAGCAGAACTTGAACCATCTAGGAAGGCATTGGATTGCAACATATGAATAGGAAGACTTTTTTCTGCATAGCATCCGTCTCTCGATTGAAGCCAATTATATCTTTTCTGAAAAAAAAAAACTGTAGATTTCTCCACATTAACAACTATACCTGGTAGGTCTTATTTAGTGCTCCTGGAATGCATACAGTTTTTAATGCAAGCCACGATCTTAAACTGTTTAAAGCAAAATCATCGGAGCACAATAAGGATATAATTTTGCTTTCAAGAGATACATACATATTGCACACTTTCGTATCACTGTAGACAGTTTTGAGTTCAATGATAAACATAGAGAAAAACCAAGGACTTAATGAACGCCCTTGCCATACACCTGTATCATGCGAGAAAAAAATGTTTCAGTCAAATCAAAATGATAGTTTAGGTGTAGGTGTCGTCAATCATGGGGGAAATTTACATGCAATCTAACAACATGAACTTTCAATACGGCATAAATGAAAAGTGACGTAAAGTACATGTAGGTTTTTATTGTTTTACAAGACAAATAGTTATCAGGAAGTAGATATCGGTCAACCCATCAAGATGACTTGGGAATTCTTCCTCGCTTAAAATTTTAATCTTCATTGGTGCTATAATTAAAACTAATGGATTGAATTCATCAACATGTTGTATTGTATAATTTATTTGATCATTTAATCTCCACATTTCTTAAGACTAAAACTTTTGTTTCAAAGTTGATAAAACCATAATGAAATTCATTAAATGTATTTTATTTGTCTATATACATGTATTTATAATTATCAAGGTCTACAGTGTGTCAGAGCATGCATTTGTATCACATCCGTGAAAAGCTAAAATCAATTAAACATGCATTCTCATTCTCGTAGAAAGATTCCAATCTATTCAAATTTTTATCCCCAGAAAGGGACACGATGTTTGAATTTCAATATTTTTGCATGATGGAGATAAGGTCTGCAATCGACAAGGTTTGAAAATCAGAATTTCAAATTTTGGAAATCACTTGCATCAATTATAAGGTTTTATCTAATAGGATGCAATGCATGAAAAGATATTTGGATGATTCCTACTTCAGTCCTTTCTCCGTTCCCACATGTTATACAATTTACAACAACTCTCACATGTTATACAATTTACAACTCACTTGACCAAAATGTTTAAGGATATCCGATCCTCAGGCAGGAAGGATAACTCTTAAATTTATTATTTTATTTAAAAAGTTTCAAAATGAAGCTTGAAATTGAGATCTTTTCGTGCAACAATTTTCATTTTATGCATCTTAATATGATTTAAGGTTCTTTGAAGTCTTAGAAACGGTCTTGTAAAAAGTTGAAATTTGTATCCCACAAAAGAAAAAAAAATGAATTCATTTTTAGAGAAACTGAATTTCCTTTAGTCTAGCATTAGTTACGACTGCTTTTTAGCATGGTATGAAATTAGACGTGATATGTGATGTCTAGCAATGATAGCACAAACTTTTTACACTATGTGTTATACCACAATTGAAGTAAAAAGAGGAACTAAAATACTGTATAAGCATAAAAAAGATAAAATTTTCTCCAAATGCCTGGATACCTATATTTTTCTATCCTAAATTATATTTGTTGATCAATTTTCAATTAGAAAATGCATAGCTGGTGTTTTTATTCACATTTCCTGAAAATATATTTGAGATTTGATAATTTTCCCTATATAATATGATTAACTATAATGACGAACTTTGAAGAAATTCCATGGGTAAATTCACGTTATTATGTGAAATCAGAGACATTTTTGTGAGCATTTTCAATTACTTAAAAGCTGATTTTCAGAACCTGAGGATTGGACTACCTTAAAAATGGTTAACTTTTCATTTGACACGTTCATTTTATCTAAATTCAGAAGCATTTCATATTTAAACAGTTTAAGAGACCCTGCTCTTATTCTTCATGAGATTTTTAAAAGCCCCCCCCCCCTCCCCGACTTTAAGACCATCAACATTTTTTACAGATACTGTGACCCTTCAAGATGTAATGATTTAACTAAACTTGAATCAACACAACATGGGATGCTTCAATATGACTAATATTTTATTATGGCTAAATTTTTGAAAACTTTGCTTTTCCCTTGTACGCATGTATTAATCTCTGATAATCACATAAACCATGCGCAGATCCAGGGATTCTTTTGAAAAGGGGGAGGGGCAGGTAGTCCACATTAACTCAAAGAATTGTCGGGTAAGTCAATGGCAAGTCATTTTCTGAATTCATTTTTCTTTTGATATATGGGTCTTCTTATCATTTTTCGAGGGCTCTGTTCCATAAGGGGGAGGGGGGTCCAAGGTAATAATTTTTTTACTTTACATAGGAATTTAATTACTCTGAAAATCCCGGGGGTGTTCCAAACACACCCTCCCTCCTCTGCATGAAAATCATAATATGGAAAGGAAAACTGAATCCACGCAACTTAGAAAGATTTAATCTGGCCCCGATACTCATGAAAATGTTAGTTCTTACAGTCCCTAACTCCCTTGTAAAACTCTGGTCTAACTCTACCCAAAGGGCTCTGATTTGAACAATCCTGAATGCTGCTATATTGTATAACAGTATTCATCAGTATCAGATTGTATACCTTAAGTAAAAATACACGCACCTGTATAAAACACTTATCCAACTGTTGATTGTTTGTTTCTTGTTTAACGTCCCTCTCGAGAATTTTTCACTCATATGGAGACGCCACCACTTGCCGCGGTGGAGGGCTGCAAATTTTGACCTATACCCGGCACTTAGGGCCATTGAGCAGTGAGGGATCTTTTTCGTGCCAGAACCTACTGCGACACGGGACCTCGGTTTATACGGTCTCGTCCGAAGGACCGGCCTCCTACTGTTGTAAATAGCCCTTCATAAAACCGTCGATAGGAATCACACACCTGCCCCTCGGGTAAGTTATTGGGAGAATAGTTCCTGTTGCAGGTTTGATAAGAGACTATCCCACTCAAACCATTGGATGAGTATGTATTATAGCTTTCCTAAAGAACAATGTATGGTAAGAGCCTAATTAGGCCCCTAATTTGATAAAGAAAAAGAAGTTTGAATTTTAATGGTTGGCAAGTAAAAACTTTAAATGATGCTTGTTTTATAACCAGTATAATTGATTTTTAAAGCGTACATGGATGCCACAAGAGGCAGAGAAAGTGGAACATTCAACCAAATTTCAACTATAATTCTGATGGAATTTCCCCTAAACTGCGATACTTATTACCTCTGAAATAGAGCACAAGCTTACCTATCTGAAATTTTCATTCACAAGATGTATCTTAAACTGGTGCATGAAATATATAAATTTCGTAGATAGGCAACCATTTTCTGAAACAAAATGTGCTTTAAAATTGATGAAAATTCGAATAAAAATGAAAAAATTCGGAAAATGATCAATTTTGTGACCTTCCTATTACCTCTATATATCCCATCATTTAGAATCTAAACTCGTTTTGTAACAAGGCTTTACTGTACCGTTCTAAGATAATCTCAAACCAAGGGCCAGAAAGGGGTCTTAGCTAATCTTGTCCTTTAAGACAATGAAAATTTTTTTTTTACTTTAAAATTTTTAAGTTTAGAAAGAAGTTTGAGAAAGTAAAATTATTCATTCTAATTTTCAAAAAATGCACCGCTGAATTAAATTAGTTCAGACTTTTATCTAATTAAAATGGAATATTAATCACAAGCAGACATTCCATTTACAATATTTCAGTGATATAATACATTTTTTGAGGTCCTTTAGTACAACCATAATTGAAATATATATTGACGTTAAAAAATGCAAATCATGGATTATTCATTTCACAAGTGCATATTAAAAGAGGTTTGGGATATATGTATGTCACTTTAACTTCAATGAATAGTATCAATCAAGTACAGTAAAGCAAACTTATAGCGAACACGCTTTTAATGAATTGGCGTTTACAGCAAAGTGATTTCCATTCCCCATGACTTAAAAATATATTTAACACTTAATGGATATAATGAGTTACACTGATAATGAAGCAAAATTGTCAGTCCCTGGCACTTCGTTATAAGCATGTTTTACCGTAATTGTAATCAACTTATTTCTCTTTACATGTGGAATCATCACTGTTCATCGGGGATCAATCTGTGGATTTTGTGGGTAGCTCTTACCCATGAATTAAGTCCCCACAAACAAGTCAAATTCTGGTTACCCACAAAAATTGACCCCCATATACAATGATGATTCTTCAGTAAATAAAATTCTTATACAGGTTTAAATCAAACATGGAATGCTATTAAATACATTTTTCTTTTTTATTTGACAGTTAAATATTTCACAAAATTACCTAACATACAATTTATAATTCAGATGGTTAATTGCATAAAAACTAATGTTCATTTGATTTAAAAGGCAGTGAGCATTAATGCTCACCTGAGTATCATAGTTCCTCCTCATATGACAAACTTAAGTTTACCCCAGAAATGGAACTCTATACAGATTTGTGTGACATGAATTTACAACTGAAGATCTATGTGCTCACTTTCATTATCAAGAATCTTGTTTATAAAAGATAATGAGTAAAAAGTCCAACCAATAAGTCTGACACACAAACTCACAAATTTGATAAGACTTACTATCATTAAGAAAAAAGCAAAGGTTTGCTGGCTAAAAAAAAAAATAAAATTTAAAAATCCATATACTGTAGAATAAACCCATGTCAATTCATTGTTCTGGTCCTTCATAAAGCCAGAAATATATAATTATGCACAATGTCATGCTTGTAATGGTTTTCAAGACTTTTTTGCAGCTGACTTCCATGATCAATTTTCCAGTTTGTCAGAGAACATTCTTTGTAATTTAAACACTTAAATGTAGGTACTAGCTCTCACTTTCAAACATCTCAGTCAGTTTGCTTAATTGAGCAATCAAAAACATGAAAACACAGAAGAACAACATAAAGGTTGCCACAGTCTTTTCCATGCCAATCATTTTCTTCAGATGATTAGTCATCATGGTCATTCAATAACTTTCCTTTAGGCTAGCATACATGTTGAATTGTAAATACCCTGTAATGAAACAAGTAATATTATGATTAAATTTTTTATTTTAATACATGTAAAAAGAACCAAATTATCAGGGCAACTGTGGTAAAATTTCATGCCAGTTCACATTAAATTTGTCCTAATTATAAAATGAAAGACTAAGTTTGGTGAAGGAGATAGATTCTTTGTTTAGGGATGGGTATCGGCAAAAAATTTGTAACGTGATATATCACGATTTTCCCCAAAAAATATCAGGATAAATCGTGATATTTTTACACACAATTTTTACTACAATTTCAAATGAATTTTCATAATATTTCTTAAAAATATGCTATAAAAACCTAACTTTACTTTTTTATTCATTTAATATAAAGCATTTTGGATGCCTTTGTTTAACTATTTTCAACATTTTTTACACTTCCTGTAATTGTCTTTCAATAGTTTGAACAAATAAATGAATAATTTCTGGAATTTATAGTTATGTACCAAATACCAGTATTTTAGTCTCTGTATCACGATACGTATCATGCAAAAAAAAAATTGTGATATACTGATACACCAATAAAATCGCGCATCTCTATAATCTTTGTTACTCTTGGCTGTCATAAGGCAGAGTGAGTTAGTAAACCTAAAAAATTCAAATTCAGTGGGCATACAATTCAGGTACTTATAGGTACTTACAGTAAAAACTGTCTATTCAGAAATCTGTGCAGTCTGTTTCACTGTGAATTCAGACCTTTATTTTAATTTGAACTTTACTCTTTTCTATGTGTTTTGCACTGTGCAATCTGACATCCTGACACCCTGTCTATTCTGACACAAAATTTGTTCAGCAGTGAATGTCAAATCAGACAGCTAGGTTTCACAGGAAAATTTTTTTTCAGCAAGTACTGATTATCTTACCCTGAATTACTGAACTGGGAGTAATATACAACTGTGCAATCAAGATGTAAATCATAAACATTTGGCAAGACTTTCAAATGACATGCTTGTATGTATCCACTTTAAAGTCATTTACTAGTGATTAAAGTTTCAAACTGGATATCCAATTGGAATATTAAGGTTATGCTCTATTTATACAAAATACCTTTTCCAATATTCAAGAAGTAAACACTTTTAATACTTACAATACATTGCATTTGCAAGCATCACAAAGGAGTGTTGATCTTTTTTCTAATGCAGGGGCTTTAGTTATGGATAATTGGAATTGTCATCTTATCCTCTAGGGGGAAAAACATAGTATAATAAATAAATTAGAAATGTTTCAATGTTTCTAAAACACAAAAATGTACTCCAATGAGAACAAAAAATCAAAGGTCATGATATTTTAGAACACGTTATTATTTTGTAACATAAGCCTAGATATATAGAAATACAGTATAGGGTTTTTTTCTGTCCTATAAAATCATTGACCTTGACCTTTGGACAAGTTGCACCCTAAATCTATAAATAACCTCTAAACTTTTCTTCATCTATACCGGGCATGAGCTAACAAATATTATTGATCAAATTTAGTAAGGATGACTCAACTAAAATGCAGCATTATAATAAGCATCATAAGTAAAATCTGACAAACTCAAGACAGTCTACATATAAGATACAATTTTAGGTGAAAAAAAGGCAATGTTTATATTCTGGAATAAATTTTTTCAAGTTTTCAAGACATTTTATGTCTGTTATGATTTTGAAATTGCGGTAGTGTCTGTAAAATCTTGGTTGGGAGCTTGGAGTAAGTGAATCTTGCAGGCACCATGGTCACTTTATTGTCTAAGTTTTGGAAAGGCTTCAAAAGTCTATTGGTACTGAATAAATACCCTAATTAATTGTGTAATGGTATCGGATTTGATTCTGTTGACCACCCCTGGACTTGCAAGTAAAATTCCTGCCAGGGGCAATTAAGAACTTGGGTGGGTTGCAACTCTGAGGGTGAAAACAATTTAAGGAGGGAGGAATGTACATTTTCTCCTTTCCTGTTACAAATGAAATTATAACAATACTTAGGAAGAAAAGTTATAGCTGAATGAAGAATCAGACAAGATCCTAGTAGAGTTCCCACTGAGCTATAGGAGTGTAACTATCTACCAGTTAAAGAGTTGTCCCTAAGACCCGGGGGCCGGGGAATTTCCCTGCCTATAATGACATAAAGCCCCAGTAATTCTGGTATCCCCCCTCAAGCCCCTGTTAGGGGAGGAACCCCAAACCCCCTTCTACTTTTTTAATGCCCCCTGCTATTTCAATTGTTAGGAACAACCCTGAGTTACCAGTTACTGTATATCAGAATAATTGTTTTGCCCCCAGTCAGTTACAAAGCAATAGAGCAATCCAGAATACAGTTTATGTGTCACCTGCAGAGCAAAGTGACACTTGGGGATTGATCACATTTACCCAGGGTCTGTTTGTCTGTCTGTCCATCCATTAATCTCACCATCAGTCACACCTTACATATATATCATGAGAAATGTAAAATGATTGGACTTAATTTTTTGAATATATAAACCTGGGCACTACGGCTTTCATAAAATACAAGGGTTTACCCATCTAGTGACCTTTCAATTTGACTTTTGATCTACTTTTTAAAATCGTTCATAGAGTCAATATATTTTGCTAACTAAGCTTATTTTTGACCTATTGTCATAAGACATTAAAGCTAGACAGTCCACTTGACCCTTGACCTTTGATCTCCTTTGGAAAAATACTTCGAAAAATTTGAGATACAGAGTTTCAATAACTAGCATATACATCACTTGTTTATGAGCTCATGTACTTTTAAACTGTATAATATACAGTATGTTATTACATAAACTGAAATCTAAGTACTAACAAAATACATCGGAATGGGTATAGCAAAATATATTGCACTTCAAATAAAGATGAATGCATGCTTACAATTTCAGTAAAGAGAATCTGAAATCTCTCTCTATGATAGTGATGAATCTGGAAGATTGTATGATAATAATCATTTCTAATTATCTCAGTTTCCTTATTATTTTATGCATAAAGGATTGGGGAATCATATTTTTATTATTTATATATGGTAATTGCCATTCTAACAAGGTCTCTCCATCTGTGGATGTTTTTCTTTGCAGGTAAATGCATGAACCAATTTAAATGCTAGTAACATAAAAAGCTGACCACTCCTAGATTTATTCAAATGATGCGCTAAAGCATGTCACATATTGAAACACTCTACTTTTTTATATGGTCCAGGCCCGTAGGAAGCAATTTCAGTTTGAGGGGCACAGCCATGCATATATTTTCAGTTGAGGGGGCACTATTAACTACCAATTAGACATTTTTATTGAGGGGGCACAAGCATATAGTATCTATTTTTTCAATAGCAATCTGTATATCGGCAAAATAATTGCCCACCTCCCCCCCCCCCCCCCCACGGCCATGTGGTCTATGAATAATCAATTAAGAATCGTATCATTTAAGTACTTTACAAAATGTTTTTTTTTAAAGTACATGTATGACAAAATTATATTCCTAACAATATATTACAGTCACTGTGATCACTGTGATAATTTTAAAGTATTTTTTAAAAAAGTTTTTTATAGATAGAATTAAGTGATACACATAATGATAAACAAGTCATTGACAAAATCCGACCGTGATACATATTTGGGGTAATACCCATCCCTACTGAGCTACCCAGGATGATGTTCACAGCCCAAATAGCTTCTCTTATATATACAACAAGAAATTGCATCACACTGTCAAATGTCTGAATCTGACCTTTGAGCAAGTGACCAAAAATCTACCACTCAATAACTTCCTTCAGGCATTCTCAGTGTTGGTTATAAAATGTCCAATTAAGGACATACGCAACGTAGTTTGAACTTTATTGTCTTTTTCCCTGGAGTTGAAGAGTTCCAATACTTAAAGGAACTGTGTGCTTCATTTTAATGTCTATATATGCTGTTGTACACTTCTTTTAAAACAAATTTGGATAAACAAAACAATTAGAATATATGTAGTAGTAATTTTTGTATATTTTTCTTTGAATTTCACAAGAATTTTAATCAGCTGATATCTTTTCAAAACCCCTGGTAATGCAAGCTGCTTTTTTGTTTATGAACATCTGATGGCACTTTAATCTTAAATTAAGAATATCTTGAAAAATTATCAGTAGGTAAGGTACGTTGCGTATGTCCTTAATTGCATCACAATGGCCAAATTGACATTCTTGAGCTTGGATATTTGATCAAGTTAGGTATTTTCTTGAAAACATTTGTCACTGTAGTAAGTATGACTAAATTTGTGGAAAACACAAGAGATCCATGGGCCATGATGCTCACCTGAGTCACCTTGGTAGTGCTGTTATTCATCAGCAGATTTTAAATAAAATCTCACTTTATTCACATGAAAAATTCATTATCCATATCATTGCCCTAGCCTAGCTCCAAGGGGTTGCAGATGTTACAATATCCTTATGATGTTGTGGCCTTATGACTACAAATGAGGGTTATGAATTGAACAAACTTTAATCTAGATGCACTTCCTTAGGATACTCGCATATATCAATTGGATTAAGGACATTGGCAAGTCAAGGTTTTCCGGAAAAAGAAGGTTTAATACATGGGTTTTTTCACTTATAAAATAGTGATTGAGAGTGATCTCCCGTGTAGAATTCTGTTACAGAGGTAAACAAAAGCACGTGTACTTCCTTCAACGGGTAGAATCATCTATACAGCAAGAAAGAAAGTCGTAATGGCTTTGTTGTACATTGTATTCAGGGACAAAGAGCCAACAGGTCGTCATTAATGTTAGTTATGCTCAGTATGCTGGGAAGAGCAAAGATGTGACATATCCTGAAAGGTAGGCCGACTGAGAACAGTTCTTAGCTAGGTCGTGTGAAGGAAGCTGCGCTTAGTAACTACGAATAAAAAATGAAAATAAAACAATGCCAATATTTTTGTTACAATGCGTTTCAATCAATTCAGTCAACTACATGATAAAAACAATCAACCAGTCTCTTGGTCAATTTTAGCTGTTAAGGGAAGCAACTCAGAAATAATGATTGGTGCCGGTATATCCATGTCTTGTTCCGATATATAATTTTTCAGCCAAAATTTTTTAGAAGTCATAGGAAATGAAGATACAATAATGTATATAATACAAAAACTGTATGAAATAAGTGGGTTTTGGAAAAATATTATGGTGAAAAATTATGTAGGTCCATTTTATCAACATTTTACATAGGAAATGCATTGAGAAGTGTAAAAACACTGATTTGACAAAATCAAAAAAAGAAGGTTGGATTGGTAGGTTAAACGGTCCAGAATATAGCCTGTTTAGTACATTTAAACCTACTCAAGAGTTCTTGAAAAATTCTATACAATAACCAGGAACCTTGCCAATGTCCTTAATTGGACTAATCATGACCCTGTTGTTTTTGAGAAAATGATTTTTTTTCTTCTTATACTCCAAAGTAAAACTTTTATCCCATATTATGGCCCCTATCCATTCCTGGAGGCAATGATTTTAACAAACTTGAATCAGCAATATGCAAGCAGTGATGTTTGCATATTAGTATGACAAATCATGGTCCTGTTGCTCTTGAAGAAAAGATTTTCAAACTTTTTTTTCTAATATATATATTCCCATGTAAGACTTTGATACCCAATTGTGGCACCAACCTACGCCTGGGGGCTAGGCTTTTCACAAATTTATATATACATTACTTGAGGATACTTGCACCTCAATATTGATAATCATGGCTGTGCTGTTCTTGAAAAGATTTTAAAACATTTTCCCTACATATATTCTGATGAAAAAATTGACCCTCTATTGTGGCCCCCACCCCATCCTCAAGGGCAGTGATTTAGACAAACTTGAATCTACACCATGTCAGGAATCAAAACTTTCATACAAGTTTACACTATCTGGTACAATACTGGGCTGAACATTAACATTTTTCCGATTGTCTGTGTCCAGTTCATTTTGTAATAAGACAAGAGGCTCAAGGGCCTTTAAGGTCACCTGAGTTTAAAAAACAAGAGGCCCAGGGGCCACATTGCTCACCTGAGCACTATGGCTAGAAAAAAAGCAGAAATCAGTTCAGTCTTGAAAGGATGAAAAGTTTAATATAAAAGTGGTTGGGGGGGGGGGGGGGGGAAGGGGGCATGAATTGAACAAATTTGAATCTACATTACCTGAGGATGCTTCCATTTAAATATGACCAATCATGGGTTTGCTGTTCTTGAGAAGAAGATTTTTAAACATTTTCCCTATATATTCCTATGTAAAACTTTGATTGCCCATTGTGGCCCCGACCGACCCCCGGGGGTCATGATTTGAACAAATTTGAATCTACACTACCTGAGGATGCTTCCATGTAAATATGACCAATCATGGCTTTGCTGTTCTTGAGTAGAAGATTTTAAAACATTTTTCCTATATATTCCTATATAAAACTTTGATCACCCATTGTGGCCCCACCCGACCCCGGGGGTCATGATTTGAACAATCTTGAATCTACACTACCTGAGGATGCTTCCACATAAGTTTCATATTTTCAAGCACATTGGTTCTTGAGAAGATTTTTTAATGATGCCATTAATTTTTCAAGAATTCATAATTATCTCCCCTTGGAAGAAGGCGTGGCCCTTCATTTGAACAAATTTGAATTCCCTTTACCCGTGGATACTTTGTGGCAAGTTTGGTTGAAATTGGCCCAGTGGTTCTGGAGAAGAAGTCGAAAATGTGGAAAGTTTACAGACAGACAGACGGACAGACAGACGAACAGACAAATGTGATCAGAAAAGCTCACTTGAGCCTTCGGCCCAGGTGAGCTAAAAAAAGAAACTGTGAAAGATACATGGAATGGTAAATAATTAATATAATAAATAATACTGATGGGATCGGTAAGAATTTCATAATCGATGATCGGGTTACTGTAACTAACTAATTATCAATTATAATCGGACATTTCTAATTTCTTTTAATTTATTTGATTAAATGTAAGAATGAGTAGATGACTACTTTCTGTGGTGGTCCAGCAGGTCCTTCATTCATTTTGTAGAACCCAAAGTACGTCCATACCCAGGAACATGCTTTGTTACCAGGGTATGGATACAATTCTGCACCATTACGATACACAAATAAAGTAACAGTTAAGTCAGGGCTGGAATATTTAGCTTTAAAACTATTACGCTTGTAAAAAAAAAAAAATAAACCGATTAATCAGAATAAAAATTTTGTAATCATGTCCTTGGATTATGTCAGCAATCGACTGATTTTCGATTATAATTGATGATAGGAACACCACTAATAAATAAATAAATAAATAAAATTAAATTCAAACTAGAAAAATATGTTCAAAAGACATGAATGCCCCACCCATGGTATTTTTATAATGCAACATGAAAGTTTGTATAAGTGTATGATTTTTGACGAAAATATCTTCTGAATCATTAGTTTTTTTTATAACTGAGATAAATATACACAATAAAAAAATAAAGTCAAAGGTCACTGGGAAGGTAAAGGCAGAGCTCCAGATAATTTTTTACCTCAAATTGTATTTACTCCCTGATTTTCAAATCAATGCAGATTTTGCTTTTCAGCAAAGTAATCAAAAAGTATTTTGTTAATCTATTGCTCTTTTGACATCTAATGTGATTTTTAGTTTGTTATCGAAATAACTGTTTTTGACAGAGGAATGCAAATAAAAAAGGACAGATTCTGCATTTATCAATTAGGTTAATGAAATATATATTAGGTTTTGCTATATATAAATTGTTAGCATCGTTTAAGAGTTACTGCCTGTTTGCATTAAAAGTCGTGTGGCGCTATTTATAGCAAAGGAGCATGTGGAGAGCAAAAAACAATTATTTTCATACAATTAATAAAGGTTGTCGGCGGACTTTAGATGATATTATTGCTACAGAAAATGTTAAATATATAAGAAATGTTTAATAAACAGTGCTTAAAAGGATAAATTAGACACCATGTGTGTTTTGCGCAATTTTGACAGTATCGACGTGTGCGCGTCAAGGACGAAAATTTGGATCTTATATGAACAGTGGAAATCTGTGATATTTTCAAACAAAATACGAGTATTTAATATTCAAATCGTTCTCCCGAACTGGAAATCGGCCTAGGTTATTCCGAATATGCTTACCTTTTGATAAAAATTCAGACACTGAGTTGACCTTAATTCACATAATTAGTTGAATCGTACTTGTATCATTCAATCCGTTGTACGCAGTACTTTCGTAGTGTAATATGTATTTATGATTGCTAATGTGTAATTGTACACCCTATTTTAATTTTTAATGCGTATTTTGAAAAATTCAATGCATATTTCTGCAAATACGCACCTTATCTGGAGCTCTGTAAAGGTAAAAAACAAGGCCCATAGGTCTTATAGGTCACCTGAATATCATGTAACAACTTTCCCACAACTGAATTAGGTTCATGTTTTAAACCAGAGGCCATGAAATTCATAATTTTGAAAGAGGTGCCCTTGCTCATCATAACTACACACTTAGTTTGTTTACTTAACACCCAGGAGCAGAGCAGAGGATTATCAAATAAATAATGCATTGTGTATAATCAGTAGAGCCCCAAACCCCTGACCTTGAGGCCACACATTTCACATATTTTGGAAAAGGAACCCTTGCTCATCATACCCATGCATTAGTTCATTGGCTTAATACCAAGGAGCAGAAGATTTTCAGAGAAGTAATGTATTTTCACTATATAATCAATAGACCCCAGTCCTAACATCAAAACCTCTTACCAAGGGGCACTGAAATTCAGAATTTTGGAAGAGCACCCTTGTTGATTATAACTATGCATTTAGTTTGTTTCTTTAATACCAAGGAGTAGAGAAAAAGATTTTCCAATCATTGATTCATTTTCACTAAATAAATAGTGCCCCACCCTAATACCAGAGCTCAACAAAATAGTTAGTCTGGTAATCAGCAACAATTCAGAAACATGTCTGTATCTATATATACCAGTGCTATCTACCGGTACACTTCATTACTATCACCAAACATAACACAACAGTAGTGCTTTAGCATAAAACACGATATCCACAGAGTAACACCCAGCACCATACCCACACCATATTTGCCTCTCTTTGTCTTTAAATACATGTATATGAAAGTATTTTTGTTTCATTTTTATTCATGCATCTACTGTAGATTCCTAAATATACGCGAGGAATAAATTATCGTGTAATTACGCGAGAAGCACCGCTCGCGAAATAAAATTACTCGCTTTTATTTTTATGGTGCTTTAATGTATGTAAAATCTCTAGATAAATCAACCATTCGCGAATTATTTTTCTCACGATTTGACGTCCTTGGGTCATTTCGCGATAATAAGTACTCGCGTAAAATAAGGAATCTACAGTATTATTTATAAGTCTACCAGCTGTCAAATAAGTTCCTTTGAAAGTTCTTTTCATATTATAAATATATAATATTTTTGTATGGTCAATTTACCTATCAATTACGATATTTACATTGATCAATTATCATAAGTGAATAATTTTTCTTAAAGCAGAGTAAATATTCCAATATTTAAAATGATTAAAATATAGCACTACCCTAAATCCAGAACCCCTGACCCAGGGATAATGAATTTCAACATTCGGAAGAAGCATACTTTCTCATCATAAACATGCACTAAGTTTCTCTGCTAAATACTCAAGAACAACCATAGAGGAAGACTTTCAAAGAATTTAATGCATTTTCAATATATGATGAAAAAAGCCCCGTACTAAACCCGGAACCCCTGATCAAAGGGTAATGACTAATTTTGGAAAAAGTATTCTTAGTCATCATAACCATGCTGGATATTTCCTAATATATATTACAGACCTATGTAAAACTTTGATCACCTTTTGTGGCCCCACCCAATACAGGGGGCCCCAATAACACTACCAGAAGATTTTTTCCTATATAAATTTGAGAAGTCGAAAATATGAAAAGTTTACAGACGATGAACAGCTAAACAGACAGACAGACAGACAGATGGATGCTGGATAAATAGTGATCAGAAAATTTTACTTGAGCTTTAAGCTTAGGTGAGCTAAAAAGTAAACAAGGCCCATGGACCAAAACACTCACCTGAATTACTTTGTTCTTCAACAGATCCCCCCCTTTGTAATACTTATTGTGGCCCCACCCCACCCCCAGGGGCCATGATTTCAACAATCTACACTGCTTCCACATAAGTTTCAGCTTTTCTGGCCCAGTGGTTCTTGAGAAGAAGATTTTCAAAGTTTTTTCCTATATATATCAATGTAAAAACTTTTGATTCCCTATTGCGGCCCCACCCTACCCCTGGGGGCCATGATTTCAACAATTTAAAATTTACACTACCCCAGGATGTCTCGACATAAGTTTCAGCTTTTCTGGCCCAGTGGTAAGGGTGAAACGTTTACTGAATTTTGTAAATGTTTAAACGAACAGCAGTAAAATTAAACAGTACCATTTAAACGGGAGAATATTTTATGTTGAATTTTTTTGGCTACTTACTCATGAAACACTAATTTAATTAACCATTCTTTCACTATAATGTAAGTATGAGACTATGAGTTGTTATTGCTATTTATTTGTTGGTTTTTATGACTAAAGAACATGAAGTGCATTAAACTCATTCACTTTCTACACCGTCAACCAATATTGCCTTAAGGCCTAAAAAAAAATTATGTTTGTTTCCTGTATCCCGACCGACCCATTCAATTTACCCACGGGTGGATTTTTTTTTCCTGCCAATTCTGTGTTTGCTCTTTGGTTTGATCAATCAGCTGATTCTTTTTATTCAAAAAATATTAATTGTATCTTTTATTTGAGATATAAAATATGCAACTTAGTCAACATTTACCTTAAATATAAAGAGTAATCAATTCCCCCATAACTTTTTGAAGTGTGTTTTCTGCCACTAGGCAGCCATGTTGGGTGTCCACTGTAAAAATAACACCTGGATAATTCAGTCCAGGGATGTTTGACCCCATTATTCATAAGCAAAAAAAAAAAAAAAAATTCCCGACCTACCGACCCTTGATTTTTTGGGAATGTTACAGGAAACAAACATAATTTTTTTTAGGCCTAATGGTTTGTTTGGCTACATACGGGACGTAGAAAAAGCATCGTACTGTTATAACTTATAAGCATGATAATTTGTACTTTCTTAGCAATAAAAAGCAACAGCAAAAGTTATTTATTTTAGAACATATACTTGGAAAAATAAATTAAAATCATAATACATCACTATTCACTCCTTGGAAATTGGAAATAAGTATGTTAGACCTCTTGGATTTTAGATAGTTTTGTTTAATATCATGTTTCCAGTTAGATTAAAAGAGAAAACAATATTGTTAACAGTTTGTAAAAGACTGCTTTCTTAGGTAAATATGAAATAAAACAACTTGTTTGTATTAAACTTTATTTCTGATAGACATTGATAATGACCTTCCTGTAAACGTTTACTCAATTTGTAAACGTTTAGAGCATTTAATCGAAACGTCGCCGTTTACATGTGTAATCCAGGGTTGTGGTTAACTTTTGAAAACTTAGGGGCCATGTGGGCTCCTAACTTTTCAAATTTTACAGGCCCACAATTGACCCAGGGGCCCACATTATATGTTAATTAAAATTAAAATTTACTAATTTTTTTTACTGATTTTTTTATTAAAATTCCTAGTGTCAATATGTTCGCAGTCAGGGGCTGACAAATCCCATTGCCCGATGCCCAGGGCTAGTGAATTTTATGGGTGGGCAAGTGAAATTTTATCAACCACTTGCCCATGAGCAAGTGACTTGAAAAAAAATAAAATCCATATGTAAGTCATAGATCTAAAGCTTTGTACAGGGGTTTGCATTTCTACTCAGTATTTGTCTTCCATTTTGTTTTAGATATATATTTTAAAATATGATAATAGTTCATGGTGGGACAAGCAAATATTCAGGTAGGGCAAGTGAATTTTGACCATGCACTTGCCCATGGACAAGTGCCTAAAAAACCTATTTGTCAGCCCCTGGCAGTATTTGAAATTTTGTCAGGTTTTCCCTTTTTTAAAAAAAAAGTTTGATACAATAATATGTTCATTTCATTTTGTAGCGTTTACCGGTAATCCTACAACTGACACATCTATTGTTTAACGGGGGAACATATTAAATAACATACAACCTGTAATGCAGTTTGGTTCTAATCTTTGTGTATTTGACACGATAATTCAAATTCTATCTCTGAATAACTAGTCCTGATGGAGTGCCTCACAGCCGATTGTTACAATATTTCTTTAAGAACAATCTCAAATGTTTGGTCTCCTATCATCAAGATTGCAAATTAACCACTTCGATAAATCGCCACGTTTGATCTAAATCAGGTACATGTTTGACTAATATGCTTGCACACAATACAAATAATCTAGGTTAGTAGAGCATTTGTTCAAAAACTGAAAGTACAATACAAAAACTGAAATGTGATTATGTTCTGGGAAAAAAATTGTTCACCATGTGGGCGACCAGATTTTTAATATCTAATCGCCCACAGCAAATTTTACTCGCATTTGCGAGTGGGCGAGTGGTTATCCACAACCCTGTAATCGTTTCGCCCTTACCCAGTGGTTCTTGAAGAAGAAGAGTTTGCCTATATATTTCAATGTAAAATTTTGATACCCTAGCTATTGTGACCCCACCCTACCCCTGGGGGCAGGGGCCATGATTTGAACAACTTAGAATCTAAACTACCCCAGGATGTCTCGACATAAGTTTCAGCTTAACTGGCCCAGTGGTTCTTGAGAAGAAGATGTTCAAAGATTTTGCCTATATATTTCAATGTAAAACTTTGATTCCCTACTGTGGAACCGCCCTACCCCCGGGGGCCATGATTTGAACAATTTAAAATCTACACTACCCTAGGATGCTTCCACATAAGTTTCAGCTTTTCTGGCCCAGTGATTCTTGAGAAGATTTTTTAATGACCCCACCCTATTTTTGTCTTTTCTTGATTATCTCCCCTTGTAAGGTGGTTGGCCCTTCATTTTCACAATTTAAACTCTCCTTCACCCAAGGATGTTCTGTACCAATTTTGGTTAAAATTGGCTCAGTGGTTCTTGAAAAGAAGTTTAAAATGTGAAAAGTTTACAGATGGATGGACAGCTAGACTGCTAGACAGACGGACGAGGGACAACAGGTGATCAGAAAAGCTCACTTGAGCTTTCAGCTTAGGTGGGCTAAAAATGTTCAAAGTTTTCATACATAGGTTGGATGACTGCAGACAGATGGATTCCATACAAAATGTGATCAGAATAAGCTCATTTTGAGCTTTCAGTTGAGGTAACCTAAAAATAGGATTTTACAATATATATACCATAGTTATTTAGAATTATTCGAATAATATTTAGGTAATTAAAAAGTCCATAAAAAAGAAATATTGACCGATTACTTTTCTGACCAGAAATTCCGGAAGATATACACCCCATTCTTTCATCACATGGTTTAAACCAAAATCAATAGCTGGCAATTCTCAATATAATATTTAAGCAATTAACTGGGTCTATTATCAGGGGCCACAATGGGGGATCAAAGTTTTTACATAAGAAAATATATGAAAATTCTTTAAAAATCTTCTCAAGAACAACAAAGCCACAATTAGTCATACTGATATGGAATCATCCTCAGGTAGTGTAGATTCAATGATTATATTCCTAAGTATAACAGGCAACACCAGGATATGGCCATATAATGATACTATAATATATCATGAGCAGAGTGGCTTTTATAAAACTGTGTTGCTGTGTTGCGTATACCTCCACAGTAATAGAAAATATATAATATGAAAATATTATCACTGTTTCACAAAGTTTTTTATTAGTTGATTAACAGATTCAGGATTGGATTCATTTTGAGCTACCTTAATTGTTTTCCACCATTTTGGAACATTAACATTTGTAAGGTTGTATGTTAATTAAGTAAGATTTTTTGACAGGACTAAGTGAGCTTCAAATAGGGATATATATTATTAAAAACAGCTATTTTAAATGTGTTCGATTTTTGTGTGTATAAAATAAACCCACATACACAGAAACAAATCATATAAGTATTTCCTTCAACTGAAGTTCATACTAAGGACATGAAGTCGAAGAGACAAGAGATTGCTCTACTTTTTCAGGCAAAAGTCACCTTTATGGATCACTGTATAAACTAATAAAGTAAATTCATTAAAAATGCCCCCACCCCCCTTTCACTCACTTAAGGTGCTTACTGAAAATTTGATTAAAACTGTAAACCCATCGTAAAATTCATATCAGTGAGACAAAATCATTAAAACCTATGCTTATACATATATTAAATCATAACACTGATGCCATCTTCAGTGTTATTCACAAATGGCGAAATGTGGTGATCGAGGAAATTCGAGTAATGCTATCATTGATCTCTTTACTGTTTACAAGTGCATCTACAAATATCCTACTACATATATATATATTTATGCACATGTATGCATCTTCATTCGACTGCACTTCATTTTGCTATTGATCTAATTACTTACCAAATCATGATCATTGGGATACATGTGATATTTCCAGGCAGTCAGATCTCGTGGAATGTTCCCGCGAACTTTACTCGGCGATGTGACGTAACGAGATTTTTTTTATTTCATTTTTTTTCCGATTTCACATTGATCATTTTAGATATAACAAGAAATTAAATAATTTGAAAATCGATAAATAAAATAATTTTTATTTTATTTTTTCGAAGGGATGACCCCTGGCATTCAAGAGTTGATTTGCTGCTATTTACAAGGTTCTTTTTAAAGATAATAATAGACCGCGGTATACTTTATATCATATTGTTAGTCTTTGCTAGTTGAAGCTAATAATATACCGTGGTAGACCGCACGGTCTAAAAGTCAGACTTTATGAGTCTTATAAGCATGCAAATAACACTAATAAGTTTGTTACAGTAACAGCTAATAAGTATCGGATCGTATCTGTCACAAAAACTTTATCTTGGTCATATCTTTTGAATGAGAGACGAAAAGGCTTTCATTTTAAATATCTGCATTGCCTATGACAAGAACTTTCTGGATGTTTATGATTTTTTTTATCTTGACCTTGAAGTTTGAACTTTTCAAACATTGTAAACCTTAGCTGTAGCTTTTGCACCTGAAGAGACGGAGCTTTCATATTTGTCATGTGCATTATCTGAGACAAGACCTTAAAATTTCTGAGTGTCTTATGATTTTTATTTACATACAAGTTTGCCCTACTTTTTCAAAAAAATTAACCATGACTGTAGCTTTTGCACCTGAAGACACTGGGCTTTAGCGTGATAATGAGACAAGACAGAACATACGAGACAGTTACGGTATGCTTAAGATCGTTGTACGTCAACCAATAAAGCCGAAAGCAGGGGACGCCAATTCTCGGAAATTGCTTGACAAGTATTTATTTCCTAGAAATATAGGTATAATGGGTATATATATTGAGTTACATGTCTGGGTTTGTGTGCTGACAAAACACAACCAATAATTTAAGACCGAGCTACTTTTATTAATGATTCTACTTCCCCCGTCACCCAGAAAAAATTCTTGTTTATGATATTTGTTTGTGTTTTTTGTTTTGTTTTTGTTTTTGTTTTGTTTTGTTTTTTTTGTTTTTGTTTTTTTTTTTTTTCTGATTTGCATTTTAATCATTTACTTATTTATTTCTCCATATATTATTTGTCATTGTCCGAATCAAACACTTAACTGATTTTACAAAGCGCCAATATTAAAATCAGTTTCGTAATTGGCGTTTTATAGGCCATCTCAACGACCCCCTTAACCTTTCTGGCAAATGGTCAACAAAGGCAAGAATGTCAACTGTTTTCAGAAAACCGATTTCTACATATAAGCCTTACTGCCTAGCAGTGGAATATAGTTGTGCAGATTATCCTAGCTTT